TAGCAAGGCAGTGCGCCGACTCTTCAAAATGTCTGATAGTAATTCGTGGTTCGTGGTTTGGTTGTATACTGTCAGCTTTTTGCTCCAATCTCCTCACTAATTCTTCGAAGAGTTCAAGATCTTCATCATGTTCCTTTCTGCTTGGTCGATGGGTACAACAAAATTATATTGGATAGCAACAATAACATTATCGGTGATTTAGGCATGGATCTGCACTTTTATCATGTTTTTTTGTAGTTTTTAGTATGTGAATTTTGAAAATGCATATGGAGAAAACTATTGCCTTTTTAAACGTAAGAGATAAATGCAAGAGAAAGACAAGGATCTTAATTGAATGCGAAATATAACTTTTATTAATCATGAATACTGTCTGAAACAAAATGGGGGACCCTTACAAGAAACCCCTATGCCTCAGGCTTGATATAGTTTTTTTTCAAAAACTAGAAAAATTACTTTGGGAAAAAAAAGATCTCGTCAACCTCCATAATTGTCCAATTTTTGAGTTCTTCGCCTGGGGCGCATTCATGGATGAAATCTGATGCCCTTTTGATGTTTTCTTTGTTATATATCATTTCTACTTGTCCACTATGCTCTACTCCTTTGTTGACAAAGGTCTCTTGGATTGGAGGAAATCGTTCTTTGTCTTTCAGAGCAGCCTTCGATAATTCGTAACCCAAATTAAAGAAATTCTTCTTCTCAGGTATTTTTGGGAGCTTTCCCCATCCTTTTGAGGCACCACTTTTCACTGTTACTTGCAAGACTCTCCATGAAGTTACGGTAGGTTTCTTGATTTTTTTCTACCGATAAGGTTACCATTGAGGCAACCCTAGGACTTGAGATGGCGTGGCAATATAGTCTTCTTTAGGGTATTTCCCGAATTGGACTATCCCTTGATCCACCAATTTTTGCAATGTCTTCTCAAAATCTTCATTATGTTTCAACAGGAACCCACACTCCAATAGACATTCCTTTAACAATTTTATTGGGGCCTTTACTCGTCTAGATGCCCCGAAGTTAGTGACTACTTCAATCGTATTTATTGTTGGTCCGCCATGCAGGGGAATGGGGTTTCACCTGGTATTTGTTTATCAAAAGTGATATCCTGAGAACCCAATAAATCTTGCACTTTATGTTTGAAGGCCCAACATTGTTCTATGGTATGCCCGGGAGATTTGGCATGATACTCACATTTGGAATTGGTATTGTATCTTGGTGGGAGTGCCCCAATTGGAGGAGCTATAGGTTTTAGATCTACCAAAAATGCCTTGACCAAGTGTTGCAATAATTGATGTGCGTCATGGGAAGAGGTTCAAATTTTCTTGCTGGCCTTTCAAACATGTTTTGCTTCTTCTCTCGTGGAATTATCAATGGCTGTCGGCCCTTGGATGTGATGCTACCACATTGATTTCTCCTTCCTTCTTTTTCGAGAAGTTGGGAACATGTCTTTTTGCATTGTAAGGGGTATTTGATGATTCCCCTTGTATCTTTCCTCTCTTTATTCTAACTTTAATTCTTTCACCAATGGTTACTAGATCTGAAAATCTGGACGAGACGCTTCCTACCATCTTCTCATAGTATATCCTCTGTAAGTTTCCCATGCACAAATCGACTAGTTCTTTCTCCAACAGTGGTGGCTGAACTCGAGATCCATTTCTTTTCACCTTTGCACATATTCTTTGAAAGACTCCTCCTTCTTCTGAGACAAGTTATGGAGTTGCATGCGAGTAGGCACCATGTCCAGGTTATATTTGTATTGTTTTAGGAAGGAATTAGCAAGATCTTCCCATGTCTGGATATGAATCCATTCCAACTGCATGTACCAATCTAGAGATGCCCCACTTAAACTGTCTTTAAAACAATGAATCATCAGCTTCTGGTCGTGAGCATAGGCATGCATCTTCCTGCAATACATGCATAGATGGTTCCTTGGATGTGTGAGCCCCCTTGTATTTTCCAAAGTTAGGTACTTTTGAATTTTGGAGGGATCACCATATCTAGAACCAGAACCATCTCGAGAGCATCGACATCAAAAGCATCATAACCCTCCACAACTTTCAACCTTTCCTCCGAAGCTTTGTATTGGTTGAGCATCATTGGATTTTCAGTAGCATGAGTATTGGTTGTTCTCTTAGGTGCTTGATTAACATCCTCTAAGTCGTGGTCTCCATATTACAAGTCCAAGTAATTGTCTGTGTTGTTAGCCGAATTCTGGGATGCCCCTACTTTTGGTGGGAGTGGGACAGACCCTTCAATATCAGCTTGTCTCGCTTCTTGTTGAGCCATGGTGGACTTTTAAGGTCATGACTCTGGTTCTCTCCTCAGTTGGTGACCTCTTGATGCACCGATAGTTTGAGCTACTTCTTCAAAGGCTGCCCTAGGATTTTGCTCTTGTCTGTCAATGATCTTCTTCAAGGCTAGAAGAACTTGACTCATGTCTCCTCTCATTGAGTTGACATTTCCCTTGACTTGCTCAATATCTTCTCTGAACACAACTTGGTTCTCCTCAATTTGTTCCATCACTTTTAGTTGATAGGCTCTTGTTTGGTATGGTGGTCGGAGAGCTGATGCTTTTCTTCTACCAATGGTTTAACTGGAGAAGTTTTTGAAAAAGATAAGTTTTCGTATGAAATGAAAATGTTTGTGAATGTATATATGCGTATGAATATGTATGGATATGCTAAGTTTTTTTGCTTTGAGTGTCTTATTCACTTGGATTTATATATTTTTTTATTTTTCAGGTTTTGCTTTTTTTATTGGTGAGTATCTTAAAAATAAATATGCAGTTTGAATATGGAAACAAAAATTACTTTTTATTAATAATAATCACCCTCAAAAGGGAATACATTTCAGATATTGAAAAATATTTGAGCCAAGAAAAACTATTGGAAGCACTAATATCTTCACAGCTCTTTCGGGCAGTTTCTCCTTGATGATTATTATCTTTGTCCTATCTGACTTGACATACAAATTGTTTTCCTTGGCGTTTATTTTTAAGACACTCACTAAAACCTTCGACTTATATTTTTTAATACTTTGAATAAGACAAACAACAAAAAATAGAGGGTAATGAGTATATTCAATTCAAAAAATGGATGAATTCCCGAATGTAGGGCTTAGTGATGGGATTTTATGAAAGGTACCCTTAGAAGTTAGGATCCTAGTTTTGCCATACCGATATTCTACATTTCCCATAAGAAGGTTTATTTAAGGGTATCATGAATAACACTAGAGGGAAAGGCAAAAGGGTCTCCCTAAAGCAGAGCATCTTTAGAGACCAAAACTTTTGTCTCTAGTTCATAAAAGGAAGGTAGCATCATGAGTTTTTGGTTTAAAGGCCATACAAAGAGTCATAGCTGTCATTCCAAAGTCCTACTTCCCAAGAGGATGTCTCTTGAGAGGTATTCCTTTTGCGGAATTCCACCGACTCTTGGCGAAGTCGTCACATAAACTCATAGGGCTGATTTAACCCCTTGGCTAATAGACGAACCTTCTTTATAAGAGTTTTTTTTAAATATTTTTGCGATAATAAAAATCTCACCAGTGAATAAATATTACAATAAATAAATAAATGCAATTAATAAACCAAAAATGAATAAATAAAATAGAAACAAAAATTGAAAACACCAAATCCCTAAAATAAACTAAACCCTACATTTGAAGTCCCCAACTGTTGTAACTGGATTTTAATCGAGTCACCACTACTAGTTTTTATCCTAAGGAAAGGAATCTAATAGGAACTTATAATTTGTACATAGAGATTCTAGGTTATTATTTCGTTTAGACAAAGGGAAGGTGTTAGGCACCCCTCATCTACCTTGTTCTCAAGAATACCAGGGTTTCGTTTTTAAAGGTTTAGGTAAGGGTTTTAATTTTTTAATAGGGGAACTCGCCACAATTTTTATCGTATGCCTACATATTCTCTTATGAGGAATCAGAGTCTCAATTCGTAGTTCATATGGTTGGTTGGTGTTTTTGATAGGATTGCGTAGAATTTCTTTCGAATTATCCTTGAACCTTGTCTGGATTGTAAGTTGAGTGATCGTAGACGCGGTTCGCAGTTAATTTGAAAGTAATCTCCTTAATCCTTTTTCGAAAATAATCTTGAATTTTTGTTATGTTAGTTCAAAAATGGTTTGATGTTGGTTAGCTGTTTTGAGACGTAGAGCGGGGAAAGTATGATAAAGTCTTTCTCCTCAAGTGGCCAGATATTGGCCACAGGTTGCTCGTCATGAAGTACGCGAAGGGAATCTGATGAAGTCTCCCTTATCACGTGGCCAGATAGTAGTCATGTGTTGCTAGCGGATGATGAATTTGGTGAGTTACATGGATTTTAATATCTTTATAAAAATATTGAATTAATTTTGATTTGAAGATTATTTGAAATTATGTGTCGAGTTAAAATTACTTATAAATAAATATAAATACTCTAAATAAGTAATATTCTTGTAATTTTATGTTTTTGTTAATTATAATCAAATACCTAAATTAAAAGACATGTGCTAATTCAACATGAATAAATGTTATGACCTGATTATAAGTTAACTGAAAGTAGTATACTAACTTAAGTAATTAAAACAAAACAAAGCAATTAGATGAGCTGGAGGTGTAAATAGGAATGCAAGATATAAAGTTAGGAAAAAATAACAATAGTAATAGGAAAAAATAAACATACATGGGAGCATTATAATGAAGAGCAACGCCTATTTCTCATTCTAAATGATAAATGAATGTGACTTTTCAAAATAAAATAATACTCAACCGAAACATGACACTTGGCATTGCATGTAATAAAAAAATTAATAAAGGAAAAATGGCAATAAAATGTGAGAGAGAATATAAACTCCACTCTCTTCCTCACATGGTTATTTATAGTAACAACAACATTTTCCTTCTTCTACAATTTCCTTCACAACCCATCTCAAAATGATTCGAACAAGAAAATAAAGAAAACCCCAATTTTAATATAGCGTCAATGAAAACAAAAGAGTTATCGACAAATTATGGTGGTGGATCTGGAATGGTGCGCAAATGGTTATACGAATCGGAGGATGTCTAGGGTGATTTGCGGAGGAGTAGATCTGAAAAAGAGAGAGACCGGTGGTGGACGGTCGGAAACACATATCCTCTCTCTTCGACTTCCTTTTCCTTCTTTATTGGATTGCATGTTTTATATTGTAGTTGCTGTAAAAAAATTTTAAAAAAAATTACAGTAGATTTGATGGTTGGTGTCAATGATTTTAATTTTTTGAATTTGTGTTTTGTGTAGAAAAATTATGTCAAGATTTTGTGTAAAAAGTTGATCGATTTGTGAGTTAATCTCTACATATAAAAAAACTTACAGTATCAAACTCACAAGTAAAAATAAGAGTTTAACCTTACTAAAAAAACAAGTTTGTTATTAGTATAAATAAATAGTTCATAAGAACGTGTTTGTGAGTATAGTGTATAAGGGTAAGAATCTATGTACAGTGATTAAATAATTTTATGGTGTAAGAACGTATGTACGAAATGGCTTGTGAGAAATTTGGAGTGTGAAAAATTCTAGGTGTTATCCTAGTGAATGATTGTAGGTGAAATTGTTGATATATAGAAAATAATTTCAAAGAAACAAAAACAACCATCAAGAATCATCATTTGGTTTAAAAACAAGAACAAACAAATTAAATAAATAAAAATTAAAAACGGAGCCTCATATTAACTCATCGGCCAAAAAACAGTTTGAAAAGAAACCTAGAAAAAAGATTGAAAAAATGTATGAAAGTGAAAGTTGAAAATAGTGTAAGTGTAGTGAAATTGTGAGAATTGTTAATGTCCTAATAGTGTAAAAGAATGACCTATTTATAGTGATAATTAGGTCAAAAAATTAAGAAATTAAATTGATAGGCCAATCAAAATTTTCTTGGTCAGTAAGCTAACCAATTAGAGATTGAGTATGACATAAAATGACACCATTTGACCAATAAGAACCAATTATTTGGAAAAGGCAATATTTTTTATATTTATTATAATTATTTCACACAATTTTGGTAAAAAGTGCATAAAATCAAATAAATATTTTTAAAAAGGCCTTAATTATAAAAACGAAAATAATATTAATTAATAAAAAATGACTTTTTATGGTTAAACATATAAATAGTTAATAATAAATAAACAAAAAAATATCCAAAGTGCACTAAGTGAGATTCGAACCCGTGACTTCATTCTTTACCAACTGTACTATCTTGTTTATTCAAAATAAAAATGCAATTAAAAGTATATTGAGACGAGCAAGTATTTATTTATTCAAAAATACAAATGATCTGGAATAAATCATTATATTTTTAAATAGGTTTGGAAGTGAATCAAAGAATATTGTAAAACCAATATTTGAAAATATTTTTTGACCGTAGAAATAAAGGGAGGGAAATTTTGGGGTATGATAAGAGTTAGCTCGCATACCATCTCAAGTCTCTAAACTGTCTAATAAGTCTTAACTCTTTTGTAGCCACTTTTCCATTAGGTTCACACAAAGTGGTGAATGAATATCCTTTCGATAGAAATTTAATTCACTTTACACACTATCAAGCTAGCAAGACAAGTTCATCCCATCTAACATGATCCCGTCTACTATCAATAAGAGATTAAGGGTGATCAATTTCTCAATTTGTTAATAGGTAGATGACAACCATGATGGTGGCATAAACCATTGTTAGCCAACTGCAATAATGTCCTTTATCTTATGCTCAAAGTTACCTAAGCATAATGTTCAACAATCTCTCTAAAGCTAACAATGTTTTATCAATTTCCTTCTTTTTCAACCTCGTTAATGATACATAACACCCAAAATCCATTACATGGTCTCATTTACACACACGCAGCACAACAAAATTATTAAGTATCCTCCAATACAGGAATGCTACAATGCAAGTATTATCCAAATCGTTTCGCTCCATATGAAGTCTTTATCCAAGTAGAGGAATTTAACAACATTGTTGTACCCCAAAATTTCCCCTCTCATGTTTCCAAGGGTTTTTCTCTAACATGGGTGGTTACAAAAACTTTCTTAAAGAAAATGAAATTTTTTGAATTATGGTTAAATGTCTTTCTATTGCCATGTCAACAGTATACTTCGATTGGCATGTCAACAGTTTCCTTCGATTGGCATCTGAACGGCGTCCTTCGATTGGCATGTCAACAATATCCTTCGATTGGCATTTGGACAAGGAGTTTCGACTGGGCTTTTAAAATCCTTCGAGTGATATTTGTCTCACAAACTTTGATTGGGCATATAAAACCCTTCGACCAAGCATTTTCCCATCAACTTCAATGGCGCATTGGTTACCCTTCGAGCAAGCCTTGGTTCAAGTTGCACAAGGCCAAAGGCCTCTTCATGCAACCTTCAATTCACTAGGCCAAAGCCCCTTCATGCTTGCCTTGGATTCACTAAGTCAAAGTTTCATTTCAACTTGCCTTCAATGCATAAGGCAAAGACTTCCTTTGTGCTTACCTTCAATGCATAAGGCCAAGACTCCTCAACACATTTTCTGCACTATGGCACACAAAATGACCCCTTCGAAAGATCATTTCAAAGGTCTAGTCGAAGGACACACATTGGTGGCCCATTCGAAGAAGGCACAAGGCATGCATATGGACTATTCGAAAGACCCACAAAAAGTCCATTTGAAGGATATATAGGTTGTCCATTCGAAGGAGACACATAATTATTGAAAGCAAGTTTGTCTTATGATGAGTCTTGATCCTACATGTTTCCAGGCTCAAGCCCCATGTGCAATGGCATTCGAAGGAAGTGACAAAGGTGGCTTCGACTACCAAATGAAGTTCTCATTTGGGTAATTTGAGTTTTCCAGAATAAAGTAGCTAAGGAAAATAGATGGGTCCAATCGAAGGAGCTATGAGTAGCAAGTCATAGCCAATCAAAGAGCAAAGATAAGGTGTACTTCGAAGGCAGGTATATAAAGTGCCTTTCGATTGGCATATCAAGAACAAGATGTCTTTTGATAAGCACATCAATAAGTTGACATTTCGATTGGCCCAAATTGAGGGAAATCCAAGAAGGAAGAGTGAAGCTTCGAACAACCCCAAAGTCACTTTGAATGGCCACTTAAAAGAGCAAAGGCATCCCGGGATTTTGATTCCCATCAAGTTGGAGGCTGTGGTACGGTGGGAGAACTGACTAGTGTTTTGCGTTCGCATTCGCACTTGTGCGGTTGAGCAAGAGTCGCCACCGACTTTTTATTTTATCCTAAAGGAAAGGTTAAAAAAGCACAGCAAAAACCTTTTGAGATATTTTCTTGGGTTCGGGGGGTAGATTATGAAAAGGGAAGGTATTAGCACCCTTTCCATCCATGGTTTTCCATGGGCTCTTAGTTACTTGGTTTTTTAGATCACTTGCCTTGTTTTTCGATTGCTTGAAAATGGTGTGTGTGTGGGTGCTTTTTGAAAATGTTTTGGAAAAAGATGCCTTGTCTTAGGCAACTAATGTATTTGACTCGTGATTGAGTGTTTTACAAAAGTGTGGATCTTTTCGAAAAGATGTTTTCAAATGTTTTTGAGAGTTTGTTTTGAAAGTGTCGTGGATTGTGGTTTTTTTGAAAAGAAGGCAAGTGTTTTCGCAAGTTTGATCTCAAGTAACTAAAAGTTTTGTCTACCCTATTGTACTCAAAGGTTTTTTGTTATGTTTTAACCCCTTTTAACAATTTTGTTCCACCATTGAAATTGGTAGACAATCTTGCGTTTAGGAAGTTTATTCGGGACGGGCGCGGGTCATCGTATGGACCATGGATGCAATGGTGCCAAGTGTATTTGGCAATTTGCTTTGAAGGGACTATGATCATTCCGTTTTAGGCAACATTCGAAGGCGCCATCTTGGGAATTATGATCATTTGAATTTATTTTGCCAAAGATACTCGACGTGCAAGCATGGCCCATTTTGGAAGGCAACATGTGGGATTACCCTAGGGGGTGCAAGTGTGATTGTGTATTGATTATATGTATTTGTCTTGTATTAGGTTATTTAGCGTTTGATTTTATGTACATCCAAACCCTAGGTCTAACCATGGTATAATTGGAAAACTGTAAATTGCGGAAATGTAAAATCTACGCTATTACAAAATAGTGTCCAGGAGTGGGGGTATAAATGTACAAGAAGGGATGAGACTTATAGTATCCAATAAGTTACAACCAAATCGAATTCGCAATCAAATGTAAATATCGAATATACAAATATAAGATAAACAAATGTGTATAGGGCAATGTGAATGTATTTGTGTAAGTGTACATGTATATGAGTATGTGTAATTATTTATAAGTGCGAAAGGTGAGATTGAAGCGTATTAGGGTTTTTGACCTAAAGAAATGTTTACTTAGTCTTGTATTTTTGTATTTAGATATGTACAATAAGAAAAAATGCTTTAACTTAAGTGTTCAAGTTTTAATTAAGAAATGTATCTTTATTTATTTATATACAAAAAGTATTTTAATCAAATGTTTGTGAATTCTAATATTAGAGAAAAAATGTATTTCTATTATTATGTACAAATATGTGTGTTAATTAAAAAGTTTTCAATTTTAATTATATGATAAAAAAAAAAGTATTTTATTATTTTATATGCAAATACATACTTAAAAAAGATATTTTATCTATATGATAAAAAAAATGTATAATATGTACAAAATATATTTTCATTAAAGGAGTAAAAAGAAGTATTTTCAATTTTTAATTATATGATGTAAAAAATGTATCTTTATACTTTTGAGTTTATTATATATATAAAAGAACTTTTTTTATTAAATGTTATGAACTTAAATTATGTAAGAAAAAGTATTTTTAAGTATTTTATGTATTATAGTATTAACATACAAAAAATATTAATCTTAGGAAAAATTATATTCTATATATATATATATAAAAAAAGAGAAAAGGGAAGTTTGAGTATAGAGAAAAAATATTTTATAAATTTCTATATGAACAAAATAAAAAAATAGAAAAAATGTTGTTAGTGAACAAAAAAGAGCTGTGTTTTGTTAATTTAAATATATACCTAAAAAAGAAAATGATGCTTTTTTTTAAAAGAATTAAAAACAAATAAAAAAGGATGGGCCTTAGGAGATACAGAATGGGCAAGGCCCGTTTGGGGGTCAGAATATTCTAGGGTTGTTTGGCGTTTCATTTGGGAAGCAAGGTTTTAGGGTTTGAGCG